GGTGCACATGGGGAGACATTCTTACACACCAACTACTCCCTCAAGTACAAGCTGAGGTCAGTGCCCAGTGACTTCAGGCAGATACGTGCCTTCTCTGGTCAGATATCCTCCTGTTGAACCCCTGAGGCTGAAGAAATCAGGTCTAAGGACTAAAAAGGGACTCTCCTGCCTCCACAGGTGGTATGGTCAGGACAACACATGTGAGGAGTACCACACTGTGGGTCCTCACTCCTGCCACATCCCCAAAGACCTGGCCCTCTTCACTCCCTATGAGATCTGGGTGGAAGCCACCAATCGTCTGGGCTCAGCTCGATCTGACGTGCTCACACTGGATGTCCTGGACGTGGGTGAGCCCCCAGTGTCCACCTGGTTTTCAGCCCTGGACTCAATAAGGGTCTGACTCCCAGCTATGGTAGTTGCAGAGCAGTGGGTGTCCACAACTCAATGCAAAGACCTTCTCCCCAAGACAGGCAAGATCCCCCACTCTGCAGAAAACACCTGGCTTGATTACCCTCCCTTTCAGCAGCCCAGGTGTTCAGGAGGGAGTCCTGGGGGATCCAGAAGAGGGCGCCCAGGTCGGAGGCGCCCCAGGAAGCTGAGGAGGGAGCTGGGGGGTGAGGGTGGGAGGCAGGAAGTGGATGATCCCTGAGCAGAATTGGGCCTAATCTAATTAGGGTGTTCCCAGCCCAGAACAGCCTGGGCTATTTAACCCTTTCAGTGGCTCACTGAGGACTCCAGGAGAGACCAGTTTATACTCTCTCCAAGGTCCCTCAGAAGGGTTCCTGGGCACTCCTGGCTTGTTCCTACACCCCAGTCCACTTATCTCTTCTTGGCATCACGAAGTGCCACCTAACCTTTGGTTGTGCCCTGTGGCAGGCAGAGCTGCCCCACTGAGGCTCTTGGTAATGTACAGAAGTGGGCAGGGTGGGGTAAAATATGATAACACCTGTCATCCAGGTGTTCAGGAGGCCCTTGCAGAAAGGTCACGGTTGTTGAGGTTAGCCTGGGCTACATAGTGAGACCCTGGCTCAAAACAGACAGTAGCTTTAGCAGTCAGCTAGTGACTTGATACCCAGAGTGCAACTCAGGTCCTTACAGGTGCAGGGTATTGATGGCAGGTGCTGTTTAGTGAGCCTTCTGCTGCTAAGTTCCAGCTCCAGCTGGACAGGTTGCTGCCCTGTGGACAAGATTATGTGTCTTCCCTCAGAGACAGTGATGGTGTTGTTATCAGCTTACATTAACTGCTGCTGGCAGTTTCTGGAATAGCAAATGACAGTGGTCTATCAGGCCTGGGTGAGAGACAGCAGGTGGGGGTTGGCAAATGCAGGCAGGTGTTGGTTCCAGGAGCCCCTGGAGCCTGGATCACACCACTGTGAGGATCTGTCTTGAGACAGTGCTCACCAAGCACAGCCCTCAGGGCTGGAACCAGTTGCACATCTTTAATTCCAGCATTGGGGGGGGGGGTAGAGGCAGAAGGATCTTTGTGAGTTCGAGGCCAGCCTGATACATATAGGAGCCAGGACAGTGAGGCCTTTTCTCAAAAACAACAAAAAAACATCTCTAGTGACCAGGACTGCTCCACCCCCAGTGACCACGGACCCCCCACCCGATGTGCACGTGAGCCGTGTTGGGGGCCTGGAGGACCAGCTGAGCGTCCGCTGGGTTTCACCACCTGCCCTCAAGGACTTCCTCTTCCAAGCCAAGTACCAGATCCGCTACCGAGTGGAGGACAGCGTGGACTGGAAGGTGCCTGTCCCGCCCCGGGCCCGCCCCTGACCCCGCCCCCCGCATCTGACTCCTCCCTCACCGTGCAGGTGGTGGATGATGTCAGCAACCAGACCTCCTGCCGCCTTGCGGGCCTGAAGCCCGGCACTGTATACTTTGTCCAAGTGCGTTGTAACCCATTCGGGATCTACGGGTCAAAAAAGGCGGGAATCTGGAGCGAGTGGAGCCACCCCACCGCTGCCTCCACCCCTCGAAGTGGTGAGCACCTCTCCAGGGCGGGCTTGCCCCTCGGGAACCCAATCCAACTTGTCTTTTTTTTGATACAGGGTTTCAGGTGGCCCAGGCTGCCTTTGAACACACTATGTAGTCAAGGGTGACCTCGAACTTTTGATCCTCCTGTCTCCTCTTTCAGAAAGAGTGCTGGATGACAGGCAACCACCACCACAGTCATGAGACTAGCTATGTCACACTTCTGGCTCCAGATTGTTTAGCCTGTCAGTAGGTGAGGGGTGAACAAGAATGTGATTTCTTGTAACAAAACTGAAAACAGGCTGTTTTCACCCAAATATTCTGGAGTCTCAAGGAAAGTACTTTATATAAAATAGAACATTACAGCCAGTTGCTACATGGTCCTCCTGCAAGGACAGCACCTTTTGTCCAACACAGTGCCTTGTATCTGTCACATGGGGAGGGAGCCATCCCTTTCACCCTTGATATAGGGTAGCCTTGACTGCTCAGCCTCCTGCATGCTCAGAAACCAGGCATGATTCCTTTTCATAAGGTGGGAGGGCCCGAAGTTGACTTCTACTTTCTGAGCCTTGAACATGCTGTTTTTGTTCCATTCTATGAAATTGTCTTAAATGTTTGTCCTCAGTTTCCCTGTCTGTCCAAAGCTAGTGGCCCCTTAGTATTTGCAGGCAGTAGAGAAGGCTCCCATCCCCCACCCCTTTCCATCGGTTCCCCCAAGAGGGAGAGAATGCTTTTTCTTCCATGAAGACACTGAAACTCTGAACTCTCATAGACACACTCAGTTTAGTGATGATGAGATGATGGAGAAACTGAGTCTCGGGGAGAGTCCTAGAGGAAAAGAAGGTCAGAATCAGCTCCAGCAAGCTCTCCACCCCCCATCCGGGCCCCTCCAGGTTCTGGGCTGGGCGGGAGAATGCAATGGGAGGGGCCAGAGCCTTGGAGCTTTGGCCCTTGCTCGTGCCCAGCACCTGCGATTCTTGCACGGGAGCCAGGAGGCGGCTGTGTCCGCTCGGGAGAATAGAGAGGCCAGGGATAGGGTGTGTGTGGGGGGGGATTGGAGAGGGGAAGGCAAGCAGGGACTGTGGGGGCCGAGGCCGTGCCAGGGACTGTCAACGAGTCCACAGTTTTATTTATGATGTGAAGCCGATGTCCTTATCCTCTGGCCTGCTTTCTGGAAGATGGCTGAACCTGGGGGTTGGACCCAGGGGCGGTCCTCCCACCTGGCCCTCCCAGCCCCACCCACTCCATGTCACACCGGATCATTTTCTTAAGCTTATCTTGGGGGTCCGCCCCTTGGGCTGTCTCCCTCAATTTCTGGCACCTACTTTACCAGGGCCTTTTTTGTTTTGAACAGTTTCGTATAATTAAACAACTTTTAAAATGTCCTTTTGTATGATGTGTGTGCCTTCGTGAGCCTGCGTGCCACAGCAAAGCACACGTGTGAAGGTCAAAGGATAACATTCAAGTAGGCTCCTCACACCATATGGGACCAGGGCTGGCAGCAAGCACAATGACCAACTGAGCCATCTCACTATCATCCCCCTTCCTGTGTCTGTCTTTGTCCCTCTTTCTCTCTGGATAGTTACAGGTAACCCAAACTGGCCTTGACCTCTCAGCAGTCCTGTCCCAGCCTACCAAGTGCATGAAAGCTTGTGCCACCATGCTTAGGGGAGGGTCCCTCTCTCCCAGTGACTGGGGGTACAGCCCAGGACCTCTGCCTTCCCGTTTTTATCTTGGTCTGGCCCCACATGGTTTCCATAGTTTTCCTCTCCTTTCCTTTTTGTCATTTCCAACCGAATACCCGATTTTGCCTCCCACTGATTTGATCCTCTTAGCCCGTCTCCATCGCTGTGCCTTCTCCACTGGGTGGAGAAGGGGTCCACACCTGACACCCTACCCAACTTCCTTGCTGCGCTGCTGCAAGTCTGGTGTGGGAGGCAGTGGTTCTGCCCGCGTGCGCCCCCTGCCAGCTGCGCTCTGACACTGCCGCTCTACTCTCTTTAGAGCGCCCGGGCCCGGGCGGCGGGGTGTGCGAGCCGCGGGGCGGCGAGCCCAGCTCGGGCCCGGTGCGGCGCGAGCTCAAGCAGTTCCTTGGATGGCTGAAGAAGCATGCATACTGCTCAAACCTCAGCTTCCGCCTGTACGACCAGTGGCGTGCTTGGATGCAGAAGTCACACAAGACTCGAAACCAGGTAGCCAAGCGGAGGCTCGCCTGGGGGTGCGGAAGCTGGAGAGGTACCCAGGTGTGCAGTCTCCACGACATCACGCTCTTCTTTCCAAGCACAGGACGAGGGGATCCTGCCCTCGGGCAGACGGGGCACGGCGAGAGGTAAGAGGGTCCTGGTGTGTGGGGACTGGGGCTGAGGCAGTCTAGAAAAGGCCTTCCCACCTTCAGGTTCTCCAATGGGAGCTCTCTTCTCATCACTTCCTTATACTTAGCATATGAGCACCTACTGCATACCAGCCTCAAGCCGAGAACCGTAGTACACGATCACCAAGGTGCAGAGAGGGATCCAGGCTTAGTGTGGGCTCTTTCTGCTCTCAGGTCCTGCCGGATAAACTGTAAGGACAGGCCGTCCTGCAGCTTGCAGAATTGGAGGCCTGCCCCAACTAGGGCCCCTCTGAACTGTCACTTCGGGGGAACCAGAGAAACATCACCAAGGGCTGGGGCAGGAGCAGTGAGCTCCCACAGCCACAGATTTAGTCCGTGTAATGGTGAAGCGTGGGTGTTTCCCAGTGTGGGTAGGATTGGAATAATAACTTTGGTTACCCAGGGTCCTCCCTTCAAGAGTCTCTTTAAATAAATGAGCTGTTCAGGTCTTCTGATGGTGAGTGTGTTTGAGGCCTATGTGGTTTGGGGAATAGGAACATTCTCCACCTCTAGACCAGTCCTGTTCTCCAGGACACTAGAATACCTACCTGCCCTACACTCTTGGGGGGGGGGGTGTTCTACCAGCTCTCCCTGTTCCTCTGAGGAATGCTCCCCTCCCCCACCATACCCCAAGATACAGAGCTGATAGGAAAGCTGGGAGGGAGAATTCTTTATTTCATGAGGTGTACTGGAGGGCAGCCTGGAGGGGCATGACCTCAGCCAGCTGGCAGTCAGGGCTGGGCTGGACGCCATGGGCCTCTTTCCCATCTTCCTCTGGTCCCTGGGGAGCCGCCCTCACTCTGCAGATTCAGCATCAAACCTGAGTTCCTGCAGAACCTCACTGATCGCCTCCATGGTTTTAATTACCCTACAAGAGCGGATGGAAACTATAAATAAAACCCAGATGGGGTGAATTAGCTGAGCCGCACAGCAAGCGGGAAGGGGGACTATGGCAAGCCCCTGGCCCTCCTGCCTGCCGCCAAACCTCAAGCCCAGCCTGGGAGCATGCCCAGGAGGCGGGGTGGCTTGGTGGGTCACAGTAGGCTCATGGGAAAGGCTGTGGTGGGGGAGGGGAACTTGCCACCAAGAGGTTGGGATGTGTATGCTTGGAGACCTGCGATAGAACTGCAGGGGCTCACAGAGGAGCAAGTGTGACTGTGGCCATGGTCAAAATCCTGAAAGCAGCGAAAACTGCACATCCTGGGAAGCATGTATCTAGGAACACCAGTGTGCAAATGACCTCTTCAACTAGGTGGGTCAGCGCTGGGCTGACTGGCCATGTGGTGCCACTCTAAGGTATCAGGCTAAGGGGCCCACAGGGCTCACTTTATTTTCAACTGGTGCAAATTTTCAGGGTCCTCCTGTTCTGACACTCCTGGTGTCCCCATCACCTGCAGCAGCGCCACCTGGAGGAGAAAACAGGAGTCACGACAAAAGCCACATTGGCCTTTCTCAGCTGATCAAGACAGGGAAGACAGACCAGGAATGAAGCCCAGGGCTTTGGAGTTTGAGTGTGTGGGGAGTGTGGGTTGCTTTTAGGGCTCTCCTGTGGAAGGGCAGTACAGTATATGGACAAAGCTTGGAAAAGCCAGGGATGGAAGACAGGCATGGCCCCCAGCTCAGAGTCGGGATAGGGCATTACAGTAACAGGATGGAAACAAATCAAGGCAGGGTTTAGGGTTCTGTACTTTGAATTCCAGACAAAGCATTGTGGGCGTGGCTTCCAGTGGTCGAACCCTTTCACCTCTAGGATTGCCTGTAAGGTCAGGGAAGATGGAGCCTTGGGATCTGGGTCAAGGACCTAGGAGGTTATGCAACATAGAGCAGAACATAACTGGGGGCGTGGTTTAGGAGAAGCGGGGTGGCCCGTACCCCCTTCTTCGAGGTTGTGTTTTTTGAGGGTATTTGTGGACGATGTAGCTTGTGGATACAGTGATAATCCAGAGGTGGAGATAGACAGCCACATTGGGCGGGATGTTGGGGCCACAGGGTTCTTGGGAGAGCTTTCCAGAAGGACTGGAATAATTAGGCAGAATCTGGGAGGGAACCGTAGGCAAACATGAGACAGTGGGAGAGGGCCCAAATGCACTGAGGTGTGCAGCAGAAGGAGGAAGTGGTTGGGTGGCCGGGAAGAATGGGTTGTGACTTATGCCCCACCTGAAGGAGAAAGGTGGTGGTCTTACCGTAGCCAGGTGCGTCTGTTCCAGCTCCTGCAGGCTACGCACGTGGCAAGCGAGCACCGGCTGCGCACGAGGCCCCGCTAGTTCTGCTTCCACTGCCAGTACCTCTCGCGAGGCAGCGGCGAAGACCTGGGTCACCTCGTGCACGACACTCCGATAACGCGGGAAGTCGTGGTGCTGGCCGCTGAGCAGGTACTGGCGGTGAGCTCTGTAGCAGGCGGGGAGGATGCTGAGCTCACGCCCGACTCACAGACCACATTCCCTACTCCAGCCACCTGGAAAATCCACCCAACTCAATGGAGCCAAACATGAATCCCACAGACTGGAGAGAAGCTGGAGCTAGCCAATCTCTGCATTCCGAGGGCGGTGCTCCGGCTGCGGGCCACACCCCGCTTCTCCCAAACCAGTTGTTCTGCTATAGTTGCTACTCCCGGCCACGCCCCCAGCTCCACCCAAATCTGACAGGCAGACTCCTTCCGAGTTTTCAGAGCCACCCAGGGCTGTGCCCCGTCTTAGATCATGCCTCCGAGTACGCCCTGCTCTGGGCTGCATCAAGCTACCCGGACCAGATCTCCACAGCCTCCTCACCTCCTTCAGCCAGGTCCAAAACCCGGTCCTCCCAGCCACGGCCTAGCTCTGCCAGTCAACCACACTCCCAAGCCAACTGGGTCTCCACAGTCCCTCCCCTAACTCCCTCCGCGCAGGTCGCGGCCGGCGCGGCTACCCAAGTTGTCCCACTCTGCCGGGCTCTCCCAGGCCCTGCCTCCTCCTCCAGGCAGGCTTACTGGTCCAGGCGGCGGAAGGCCTGCGCGCGTTCATTCTGCAGCTGCTGGATCCTCCGTACTAACGTGGCGATCGGGGCGTCTCTCTATGAGGGCGTGGGGCCATGAAGCCGGCTCCCTAACCCATCCCACCGCCCCATGCCCGTCCTGCCCGCGCCTGGGCTCACCCAGGCCCACGCCGGCTCCGTAGATTCGCGGGCGTCCACAGCAGCATGCACATCGGTCGTGTCGGTGAGCATGACTGCGCAATCCCAAGGCGTTTGAGCGCGGCCACAGCATCCCCTGCCGACCGGGAGGTCCACGACCGTCATGCACGCTCATCTTGCTACTTAGGAACTGTGTACTGTTTCTTGACTCAGTGTGAATCCGCAGACCCTCGCGACACAAGTATACCAAATGGGGTCACAATCGTAGTTTAAACCCAAAATATTAATGCAAGGGTGGTGGTAACGAAATGTAGTCGGGGGATAGACAGATGTCTCATCGCCCAAGAGTAATGGTTGCTTTTACAGGACCAGACAGAATGCCTGTGCCCTCTTCTGAGCTTATGGGGTACCAAGTACTCATGCAGTCCACACAAAACATGCAGATGAAGCTTTAGAATATAGCTGGACCTAATGTGAACTGGGTCTGTGCGAAGACCCTGGGGCAGATGCAGATAAGTCACAGGGCTTTGTACGTTGCTATGAAAGTCTCCTTCCCAGAGTAACACTAGTGACATAAGGGTGATGGACACACATACATGGTTGACTGCAGGCTGTTGGCACACCAGATTCAAACCCACAAAACCCTTCAAATGCCAAGGGTATAGGATAAAAGCCTATTAAGACTACAAAGACAGCTATACTCACTGATGTGTGCCTGATACTCGAAGATACTCAGTGTAGCCTGTGATTTTATACTAAGGGAGAAGGGTAAAACCAAGGGCTGTGACAGACATTGGGAAGGTTGCTCTCTACATACACCACAGGCTCAGCAACTTAACTTGCATGTAGAACCAGCATCATATGGAAGGCTGGGTTGGGTGAGGTGCCCTTGCACACATACCCCAGATGAGACTAAATGCAAGAGTGCACAGATAAGATGGGGGAGGGATGGGGCTCCACTCTCAAAGTCTCCTTAGCGGCTGCTTCTGCACAATAGCTTCCAGGGCTTCAGATGATTTTCAGTTTTAACCCACTAGTCCACCTTCCCAGACCAGGATCAGCCCTCACTACCCCACTACAGATGCCCACAGTTGAGATGTGCAGGCGGAAACCCAAGTGTTACCAGTTGGGTGCGGCAGACACATGCCTATCAACTGGCAGACTTCAGGGCAGCCCGTGTGACATGGTGAGATCCCCTTCTCACTGTGAACACCCCTTCTAGCCCATTCCTCAACAGAATAGCCATTTGGACACCAGTTACTGCTCCAGTCGATGGAAGGGGACTTTATTTGGTCCCAGGGTCACGGGCCAGGCATGGCCGCAGCTTTATTTGACCTTCTTCTTGGGGCGCAGGTTGTTGGTGTGGCCACACTTCTTCTTGCGACAGTTGACTGCACGGGGGTGCAGGCGTGCATAGCACTTGCGGCAGATCATCTTGTCACAGTTGTACTTCTGGGCAAGCTGACGAAGAGATGGCTCGATGATGCCACCACGAAGGCGGAGCACCAGGTGCAAGGTGGACTCTGGTGAGGGAGACACAAGCTGAGCACTGCTCCACAGCCCAGGAAGTCCTCACAGAACCCTCAAGGAGTACCCTAAAGAGGGTTTTCACACTGCTGCCATAGGTTAGACCTCCTTAGTAAATAAAGTACTAAAATCAGTTCTTCCACTTGTGTAAGATACTGAGGCCTGAAGAGGGGGCTAAGCATCATGGTAAGCAGCTGTGGGTCACCATGTGGGGCTGGGGACACTCAGGTCCTACAGGAGTCAAACAAACCAAGAAAAGTGTCCAGGGGCCAGCCCAGGTACAATGAGGTCCTGCCCCACAGACATCAGAGCCAGCAAGCACTCAAGTGCTGTGACTGACAGCACTGCAGCCTTCCAGGGATAGAGGAAGCAGATCTACATAAACCCTGTCTCAAACAAACAAAAAGAGAGAGGGATAGGGAAGAGCAGAGCTGATGGTGGTACAAATAAGCCCACACACAAGATTTACTTGGATATTTAAAAAGTGAACAGGCGCCACCACAGCTCACACCTGCAACCCCACATCTCAAACTGACACTGTAGGACCAGCCTGGGTTAAAGTTGAGAACTTAGCTTAAAAAAAAAAAAAAAAAAAAAAAAAAAGTGGGCTGGAGACACGGCTCAGAAGAGCACTGACTGCTCTTCCAGAGGACCTGAGTTCAATTCCTAGCAATCACACGGTGGCTCACAACCACCTGTGGTGAAATCTGGTGCCCTCTTCTGGTGTGCAAGCATACATACAGGCAGAGCACTGTGTAAGTGATAAAACTTTTTTAAAAAGTTGTTTTTTAAAAAAAAGGTAAAGGCTTGACACAGAGGAGATGGGCCTGGTGACCTGGGTCCAGTTCTGAATGAAACACACACAAGGTTGAAGGGAACTGACTCCACAAAGCTGTCTTCTGACTTCCACACATACCCATAGCAAAGGAAAACTTAAGGGACAAGACATGCCACTTCTGGAGCTGTCCCATGTCACTAGTCAAGTCCTCCGCCCAAGTGGCAAATAGCCAAGCTGCTCTAGCCCTTACCTTTCTGAATGTTGTAGTCTGATAGGGTGCGACCATCCTCCAGCTGCTTGCCAGCAAATATCAGCCTCTGCTGGTCAGGTGGGATGCCTGTGCACAGGAGAAACCAGATTGTTGGTGGCTCTTTCCTGTAGCAGCTGGCACCACCTCAATCGTTCTTCACAGAAGAAATTAAGCTAAGGACTGCGAGCATTCCAGAGCTGGGAAAACACTGCCATCAATACCACCTCTACCCTCACGACAGAGCCCCAGCAACCCAGCTCACCTTCCTTATCTTGGATCTTGGCCTTGACATTCTCGATGGTGTCACTGGGCTCGACCTCAAGAGTGATGGTCTTGCCAGTCAGGGTCTTCACAAAGATCTGCATGTTGGCGTCTGCTAAACAAAGGAAAGAGACTCATCAGTTACATGTGTGGGAGATCTCTGCCTGAGCAGACTCAGTACCCGAGTAGCAGTACACTTCTTAGGAGGCTGGCCATTTGTCCACCTGCCGAATTGCCGTCCAAAATGCCCACCCTGCTGGGACCTGAAGCTGCCCTTTCAGCTAGTCTTAACTTTTCAGATCACTTCCATTAGGAAGGACAGAAAGCCCCACGCAACAGCATGCCACTGTCCTCCAACTCAAGGATCGAACACCAAACTCTTCTCCATAAGGCAGGCTACTCACTGTAACCTACTTTTCATGCACTGATATGACAGCTATGCATCACCACGCCAATATTTTTTTGAGACAAGATGTAAACCAGGCAAACTTTGCAGTCCTGGGTGGGCCACCAACCCCATAGCCCTGAACTTCTGTGTAGCCCAAGCATCTTCTGAACTCCGGATGGCCACAAGCCACTCCCAGGCACAGGCTGGCCCTGAACCCCCTCTGTAGCCACACTGGGACGAAACGCCCAGTGAATCTCTGGATAGACTCAGGAGTCGCTCTGTAGCTCAGGCCGGAGCTCTTTCTTCCTGGGACTCCCGGGCTGGGCTGCCGCGTGCTCGCCGCGAGCCCAGGTCCCCCGGCCGAGCCCCGACGGGCATGCGCGAGACCAGAGCGGCGCCCAAGGGTCACCTTATTCCCCTTGCCGGACCCCGCCACGTCTCCACCCCGGCCCAGCCACTAATAGCCCATCAGCTACACAGCTACCACCAACCAGTTCGGCCGCCTCGTTGAAGAGAAAGGTCGGCGGAACCGGAAAACCCCAGTCTCCTCTCAGAGCGCCTGCGCACTGAGCACGTTGCGCGTCGACGTCACAATCGGCGCCGCACGTTGTTCTCGCTCAAGGCTTCGGCCGGCGCCATGTTGGTTCCTGGCAAGAGAAGCCGTGCTTTGGCTAAGGGAGCAGAAGCCACTTCCGGTGGAGCCGCACCACCAAGGCGTGAGTGACTGGCGTCCCTGTGGAAGCTTTCAGTATTGCCTTCCGGCGTTCCCCAGCCAGCCGGGACTCGTTCTTCATTATTTTAGAGGCTGTGGCTAGTGTGGTGGTGCTCGCCTGTCACTGCTGCAGGCCAGCCTGTGTTACAGAGTAAGCACTGTGTCAGATGCCGGTAAGAAGGCTCGGCGAGGAAGGAAGGCATTTACCATCCTGTGGTGGAGGGAGAGAACCGACTTTGACAGGCGCTCAAGCACGCAAAAGAAAGTCTAATGGAAAAATAAATTTCGAGACAGGGTGTCACTGTTGCTCTGGATGTCCTGAACTCACTTTGTAGACCAGGCTGGCATGAACTCAAGAGATTGGCCTATCTCTGTCTCCTAAGTGCTGGGAATAAAAGAATGCACCACCACCGTCTAGCCAAAAAGAAAAATTTTAAGAGGCTGTGATGGTATTAGCCTTTAATTCTAGCGGATGGGAGACAGAGGCCGGGCGATTTCTGGAAATTCAAAGCCAGCCACGGCTCCATAGTGAGATTCTGTCTCAAAAAATAATAATAATACAACCATTAGATATTGGAGAGAGGGGATTTAAATTTTCCTGTGAGCTTGGTGGTGTGGCTGGTTTTGTTTCTCGAATATTCCCCAGGCCGTCAGGTAAAAAGCAATTATATGCGTACTATCTGGGAAGATAACTTTTGTTCTGAAAATATATTTTCCCCCAAACAATATAGTTAATGATTCTCCCCATCTCTCTACCCACCTAAATCCACACCTTTTTTGCTCCCATTAGAAGACATCTAAAATAAACGTTAAAAAAGAAAAACACAAGAAGCACATAGACACACATATAAACAGAGATCCCATAAAACACAAAGTTGGAAGCCATAATATACAAATAGAAGGCAAAAATGCCCAGACAAAAGCCTCCAAAATTAATATTGAGTTCATGTGACCATACCTTAAAGTGTGGTTTGCATGCCCAGAAAGACTCCATTAGAGAATTTTTCCTTTGCGAGTGGCTATCAATTAGAGATAACTTCTGGGTTGGGATGGGGCGCTGAACCCCTGTATGATTTAGACCCACACAGGCCGAGTGTGCTGCCAGTCTCAGTGAGTTCACAGACATGTTAGTCACACTGTATTTATACACCTGGTTTCTTCAGAGCCCTCGTAGTTTTATACTTTTCCTGCCTCCTCTTCTGAAGGGTTCCCTGAGTTCTGAGGGGAGGAATTTGATGTTGGCAGTCCATTCGGGGCTGAGAGTCTCAAACTCTTTCCCTCCCTGCACTCCATCCAGCTGTATATCTCTGTATTTATTCCCATCTGCTGTGGGAGGAAGCTTCTCTGACCATAGCTGTGCACTGATCTGATTCCTGGGCTGGTAGAGAGTAGCCCCTGAGAGAGTACTTTTTAATTTTATTCATCTATTTACTTACTATGTATTAATTTTTGTTTTTTTTGAGACAGGGTTTCTCTGTGTAGCTTTGGAGGCTGTTCTGGAACTTGCTTAGTAGACCAGGTTGACCTCAAATTTACAGAATGCCTCCCGAGTGCTGGGATTAAAGGCATGCGCCACCACCACCCAACCTGAGAAGATTCTTTTAATGACTCAAAAAGTATGCATGTTGAGTTTTCCCTACTAGTTAAGTGTACCCGTATGCAGTGTCTTTAGAGGCCAGAAGAGGGCACTGGATCCCCTCAAACCATCTCCAGTTTAGCCTGGCATTTTTATTTTTGGTCAGATTTCTCTGTGAAACAGCCCTGGCTATTCTGGAACTCACTCTGTAGACTAGGCTGGCCTTGAACTCACAGAGATCCGCCTGCCTCTGTCTCCTGAGTGCTGCTATTAAAGGTGTGTGCCACAACTGCCCAGCTACATATTAAGGCCATTTTACAGTGCTGGAGCTGGACCCTGGGGCCTACTGCCTGCTTGTCAGGGACTCTGTATAATCAGGGTGTTATGTCTGGAAGATTCATTTAAAAGTTCTCCATGGAGGTGGGTAGTGGTGACTCACCTTTAAGCCAAGCACTTGGGAGGCAGAGGCAGACAAACAAACATACATGGTGTGTGGTAGCAGGTGTCCTAGCTATGTCAGAGTAGCCATCAACCAGAAACAGTTTCCCAGATGGCCCCAGGACAGCAGGTGTCTCAGAGAAGGGGGTCCAAGAAAGGCTTGCCCCAGGCTCTGCCCTTGGATCTCACAGGGTACCTCTGGTACAGCCCAGTTTTGGTAGTTTACATGGTGTTTGGGCAGCCTCCTCCAGTGTGCCCCCCCATCCAGAATCTGCCCTGGTTCTGGGGTGTGAGCCCCAAACAGACGCAAGCCACAGCTGTGCAGTGTTCCCTTTAAGAGTCTTTACTGAGAACTTCTGACAGCATCTGTAAACATCAGTACAAAAATATTCCATTCAGTTGTTTTCTAAGGGACTGCCAGCCCGGCTCCTGGAAATGCCTGCTAGACTTGTGAGAAACAGCTCCCCACAGGGTCAAGGCTGCCTCTATCTTGTACCTTCTACCTCTCTAACTCTCCTCAAATCCAACACTTCAGAGTTAAATCAGCAGCTGCCAGGGTTAGGGACAAGCTCAGCCCTGCAAGCACCTTCTACCTTGGGGGACATCTGGCTTTGGTCTCTGGGGACTTTAGAAGTACTTTGAAAGCTGGCCCAGGCTAAGCTCCAGGATACCTGTAGCCAGCTCCACTGCCCCAGCTAGGGTGCATGTCCTGGCATGGGGAAATCCTGCTCTTAGGAGAGGCAGGGATTAGGGGCCCTGCCTATGACAGAATGGAGCGGCAAAGCTGACCAAGTGTGACCCCGGGAGGACCACTGCTGCCCTGAGCCTTTCTGGGATGGTGGGAAGGGGGGCTATTCTCCAGGTGTCTCTTCCTCTTCATCTGTGTGGCTGTGGCCGTTGATGGCAGGGGAACCAGGTTGAATATGTGACAGGTCCTCAAAGCCAGGACTGAGAGATGGTGAGACGGTGTCAGGACTGGTGTCACAGGAGCCTGTGCTCTGCTCTGAGGTGGCGATGGTTGTGGTGATACTGGGTGGAATGGGGTCTTCATCTTCATCTTCTAGGAATGACCCCTCTGGGATGTCTGAGGAAGGACCCCCATGCTGGTCAATTTATGGACCCAGGCCTTCCTGTAAGGGTGGCCCCTAAAACTCTTCCCTACCCATGGGGGCATGAGCTAGCCCATTTTACAGAGGAGGAAACTGAGGCCTGGGCAGGTAGAAGGCATCTCATCAAGGTTCCAGAGTGAGGCTGACTTAGAACATGCATTCTCATTTGTCATCTGGTATGGGAGACTGAGGCAGGAGGAATAGAAAGAATTTGAGGTCAGCCAGGACTACACAGTGAGAGCCTACATGAAAACTTAAAAACTAAGACAAAAACAAATGCCCAAGTTAGGTTCTGTCTGCTGCAGTATGGCATCTCCTGGGCCAGGTACCACACCTGCCCTGCCTCATCTTAGCATTCTATGGTGGAGGCAGAAGGGTCAGGAGCTCAGGATAATTTTTAGCTACATAAACAATTTGAGGCCAGCTTGGACTACATGAGACTATGTATCAAAAACACACACACACCAAAAAAAAAAAAAAAAAGAGAGAGAGAGAAAGAAGCCCTAGGAATTCCACCTATCTCTGGAGTGGAGACAGAGACCCAGTCAGCAGAAGAGGTGAGCTCAGAGAACCCTTTGAAAAGTTGAGTCCCAGTGCTATTACAGCCATAGACCTGAGTGAGAATTCAGTGTGGCTCCACCTCACTCATACCCCAGATAGTATCACTTCCCTCCAGTTCAGGTCTCAGTTTCCCCTTTGTGAAATGGAATGTTCAATCCCCACCTCACAGGTACTTACAGGTGACAGCCTGACTCACCAGGGCTCCTGGGTATGACATAGCTGTCACCATCCATTCCTGAAACCTGCCTGTAGAGGATACTGCAGCCCCTGCAACTTCCCATTGCAGAGGCCTCTCCACCCACCACCCATGGGACCCTGGATGGGCAGCTGTCCAGGCAGCCTTCAGAAGCCAGCCCTAGGTGGAAGGTGCTGGCAGCAGCAGGGTAGGGTGGGAGACACTTACGACTGAAGGCCTCTGGGTGCTGCCGGGCCAGCTTCCCCTTCAGTGTCCTGTGGGGAAGGGGACAGACAGGGATGAGCCACCAGCAGGAACCTCAATGGGCTCTGGGAACTGCCTGCCTCTCCCAGCCCTGGGCAGTGGTCTCCTCCTGTGCTAATGCCCAGGGCTCTTCTGCTTCTGTCTCTTAATTGGTTATAGCAGCACCCTGGGGGAAGCAGGAGCTGAGATCATGACAGGAGGTGACCACCATCTTACTGCTTTCTGTACCTCATTCTTTCTTGTTTGGCTCCCGTGTGGGGTCAGAGCAGTGCACTGGACTTTCCTCAGGCTATGTGCACCTTGTTCATTCACACAATGCCTCCCCAACACAAGGGTGACAAGTCATGTGCCCCCACATTTTTTAAAACTTCATTTTACCTTTAACTATGTATGTATATGTTTCTGTGTGTGTGTATGCACATAAGCAGGTCCCTAAGGCTAACTCCAATTCTCCAGAGCTGGAGTTACAGGCAGCTGTGAGCCACCTGACATGGTAGGAACCAAGCTCCAGTCCTCTGCAAGAGCAACATACACTTTGTAACTTTTTGTTCTTTTGATGTTTTGCTTTTCAAAACAGAGTTTCTCTGTCCTGGAACTCAGTCTGTAGACCAGGCTGATCTTGAACTCACAGAGATCCACCTGCCTCAGCCTACTAAGTGCTGGGATTAAAGGCGCGAGCCACCACCACCTGGATACACCTGACTTTTTAAATGTATGTCCTGAGGATTTGAACTCTGATCCTCAGGACTGCTCAACATGCACTTTACTTACCCAGTCATATCTCTTTTTGGTTTTTTTGAGACAAAGTCTTGCTGTTTAGCTCAGGCTGGCCTTTAACTCACTGGAATCAAGACCCCCAGTCTCATTTTCCTGTGTGCCAGTCATCACTCCAGTTGCCTTTATTGCCTTCGGGAGGGAACTGGCTGTTGGTCACTCTGCCCCGATGTCCTGCACCTCAGGTTTGATGTACAGTGGAGGAACTTCAGAGCACAGAGCCTCCACCCCGACTGTAGCCAGCCTGCTGTCAGTAGTGATGAGTACACAGCCGAGTGAGGTACAGCACGTGACAGGCTGGACTTGTCTCTTTTCTGGGGAGCTAGGACACATGGTGCTGACTGTCAACTCCTGGGGCTCACAGGGTTCTTGTGTACTCCCCAAAATACCTTCAGAATAAGCCTGGTGTTATAAGCTAGAAATGTGTGCTTAGAGGAAAAATTAGGAGCCAACAGTGGCAGGGCATCTTAGCACTAGGGATGTGGGGAGACAGGAGGATAAGGGGTCCAGGGTTATCCTCATCTATATGATGAATTTGAAGTCAGCTGGGGTATAAGACACCCTGACTCAAATAATATCAAGACTGTAATAAAAAATAAAGAGGCCAGGTGTGGTGGTATACCTTTAATCTCAGCACCTGGGAGGCAGGGGTAGGTGGATCTCTAGGATAACCTGGTCTACATAGTGAATTCCAGGACAGCCAGAACTATATAGTGAGACCTTGTCTCAAAAACAAAACAAAAAATAATAAAAAACAATACTAATAAAAAGAATTAAAGCCAGGTGTGGTGGCACATACCTTAGTCCCAGCACTCAGGGTCTTTGACTTCTGGACCTGCCTGGTCTACAGAGGGGCTTCCAGAATTTGAAAAGGCTGATCTACATCACCTAGACTTAGGTAGAGCTTATTTTGTCCCCTTAGCTCCAACTAGACTCCCCAGGCCAGGGCCCTGGGCTGCAGGAAAGGCTACATCTATGGTCTAGGTCCCCTGCAGCTCTAGCTACCCTGGGTCTGGGCAGCTGTCACCACAGCAGTGACAGATGAGCCTGCACCACTATGGGAAGAACCAAGCAAACCCTGACTGGCTTGTGCCCTCCTGCTCTGCTGACTGCACAGCCTGCCTTCTATCCAACACCACCCATCCTGCCTTTTGTGTCAGGTCCCAGTAGTATGGAACAGATGACAAATAAAAGGGAAATTCACTACTTCCAGGTCATTCTCTCAGAGGTCAGAACCGCCTTGTAAGACAACCAGAATACCCAGAGCTAGAGAGGGGAGCGGAAGGGAAGAGGTGGGGACCTTATGGGGAGGGGACTGGAAGGGAGGGGACCTTGGGAAAGAGGAACCCAGAGATGGGCTTTGGAGAAGTGAGAATTGTGAAGAAATGGGAGGGGCATTAGAAGGCAAGGAGAGAGGACCCTGAGAGGGTGGGAGGAGGGTCTGATGGGACCTCAAAGGAAAGGGTAAGGTTAAGGCTAAGTCCCTGGAACAGGGCCTTGGAAATAATGGCACTTCAGAGTGGAGGGGCAGGGCACTTAAAGAGCTGGGTGATAGACTAAGGGAAGGGCCAATCCTGTGAGGCTGAGGATAAGGGTTTAGAGAAGATGTTCTGTAAGGCAGCTGGCTATGGGGTCACAGGGGAGCTGGGGGCGGGGGAGGGCCACCTGATCCTGCGGAAGATACTGTCCAGGTCCCTTTTCATGTCCACCAAGGTGCGAGTGTGGTGCATGAAGCGCTCACTCATCTGCTGCAGTCGAACACTGGACAGACTGTTGAAGTTCAGAAGCATCTCGTTGGTTTTCTCAAAGCGATCCAGCCTGTGGGGAGAAGGTGAGGGCCCTTGCAACAGGCCTAGGAGCCCCCTTGGCCTGAGCTGAACCTTATGAGAGTCACAGCCTTGGCATTTAGTACAGTGCCACAGCCTGAAGATTTCTGCTTGCTGTACTGGTCACCCAACTCCTACTCACCCTTGAAAGCTCTATTCAAAGATACCCTTCTTTGTGTGGCAGCCTGCATTTTTCATGATGTATTTTTGTGTGCATGAGTTTCTTCTGACAGATTCCTGCTACACAGCCTAGCCAATGACCTATTCCACGTCCTTGTATTTGTTTTATTTGCTTGTTTGTTTTTTGAAGACAAGATTTCTCTATGTAGCCCTGGCTGTCCTGGAACTAACTATGTAATCCAGGCTGGCCTTGAAAGATCCGCCTGCCTCTGCTTCCCAAGTGCTAGGATTACAGGCCTGTGCCACTACATCCAGTCACAAGGCTGACATGTTATTTATTTTTTGTTTTTTTTTTGAGATAAGGTTTCTCTTTGTAACAGTCCTGGCTGTCCTGGACTTGGGAGGTAGAGACAAGCAGGTTTCTGTGAGTCTGAGGCCAGCCTGATCTACAGAGTGAGTTCCAGTACAGCCAGGGCTAAAGTTTGAGACTGTCTTTAAAATAACTAAGTAAATATGAGGTGGAGAGCCCCAGGGGAAGACAGATGCCAACAGCCTCTGGCCTCTGTTGGAAGGTCTGTCCACTAGAATGGACTGGAGACCTCTGCAAGCTTGGCAAACCAAAATACCAAGTTGCACCTAAGCCTGGTACCTGCCTTTCACCCCAAGCCCAGCTGAACTCAAGATGAGGTTGTCCCAGATGTGTGTAGTGGTGGGGGATGGGAAGGAAGGAGCACAGGGACAGGGGCATGACTGCTCTGCCCATAGCCTGCTCACATGTTTTTCTGGGCCAGGATGATGGCATTGACATCATCAGGGTTCACCATGCTGAGGAAGCGGCCACAGAAGACCCTCGAGGCCGAGTCCGAGGGGTCCATCTCTTTCTCCTCCACCTCCAATGCCTGAAATGACCAGAACAGGATGTGAAGTCAGCACTATGGCTGGTGAGGCTATCAAGAGCCCATCACAGCTCTAACAGTTGCCACCCAAACCTCAGAATACTTAGGCTAGGAATTTGGGGTGTTTTGTGGCCTAACAGAGATCCATCCCTAGAAACACATAAACCTGAGCATGGTAGCACACCTGTAATTCCAGCATTCAGGAAACTGAGGTAGGAGGATGCGGAGTTCTAAGATACCGATGGCTGAAGAGTGAAACAATCATTCTGTCACCCTCCATAGCTGGCACAAGAACCTAACTTTTCACATCAGAGTGAAACCATCATTCTGTCACCCTCCATGGCTGGCACAAGAACCTAACTTTTCACATGCACAGATTGACCAATATAATTTCTTCCCTCACTGTCCTGACAGACTTTGCAAAGCTGTCACCCCACTTCCTGTCAGGTTCTGTTCCTGTTTAGCTTTAGTTCAGAGTTTTACATTTGGTTTATATGGGTTATAGCATGAGACATGTATGGGTCACAACACTCATGCGACAGTCAGAGGACAAACTGCAGATGCTGCTTCTCCTCAGACACAGAGGCCCTGGAGCTGAGTGAGCAAAGGGCAGCCATGGATACCAGTCAGAATTCATGTCCTCTTCCAGTGAGTGCAGCAAGTGTTCTGAGCCATCTCTCCAGTTCCATTCTTCTACTATTGTTTGAAATAGGCTCTCATTGGCCTATAACTTTACCATACATGTTAACATGCTCCCAGGGATCTGCCTATGTCTACTTCCCATCTCACTATCACTGAGCTCCAGCTTTGTGTGTAGTTTCTTTAAGTATATTATCACCTGCATGATCTCATCAAATGCACCCTCTTCAAGACAGGGTCTTTCTATGTAGACCAGACTGCCCTTAAAACTCACAGAAATCTGCATGCTTCTGCCTCCTGAGTGCTGGGATCAAGACTGTGTACCATCATACCCTGCTTCTTGTGTTTCTGAGACAGTTTCTCACATAGTTCATGGTGCCTTCATGAACACCTGAAGACAATCTTGAATTCCTGGTCCTCCTGCCTCCACTTCCTGAGGGGCAGTGGGTATGCCTATCATCACACCTGCTTTCCCATGACACCTTAGTTATCAAGGGTCAGCTGGTCTACATGGAAAGTGACAACAAATAAAAAGGCCCTGTCTCAAAGATAGTGGAAGGCAAGGACTGACCTGAGGCTGCCTTTCATGTGCACTGTGGAACATGCATATACATACTCCAAGCAAGTTTCCAAATTCAGCTCTAAACTTGGTCTGGGAGCCAGCAAGATGACTCAGGGAAGGGTGATCCCTACAAAGCATGATGACTTAAGTTCAAACCCTGGGTCCAACATTGTGGAAATAGAGAACCAACTCCCAAAAGCTGCCCTCTGATCTACACATGCACACTATAGCAAACATAGTTACTTGTCAAACACAAGCTCATAAAATATACACATGAACATGTGCTAAAACCAGGCTTAGCAGGGCACAGCAACAGTGCACGCCTGTAATCCCAGTACTCTGGAGGCAGAGGCAGTCAGGTCTCTGAGTTTGAGGCCAGCCTGGTTTATACAACAAAGAAATCCTGCCTCAAACATACACACTTGTGCACACACACACACACACACACAAAGCTTGGTGGCTTACACACATCTCAGCACTTAGAGGACTGAGGCAGAAGGATTACTTCAAGCTTTAGGCTACCCTAGGCAACAGCACAGTTGATTCCAAGCCTGTACTCAAAAATGAAACAAAATATTTAGCACAGAAGCTAGCTATACTTTTATCAGCAACTTAAAGCCAAGGATTAGAGGCCCTGGTGGTCTGCCAGCCTGACTCTGGATGGCTTGCAGTTCTTAGCATCTAGTAGCAGATGATGGTCTCTGCTGTGCCCTGGTGAGCAGAGCTCCCCAGACCAGCTCAAAACGGGGGAGTCATAGCACCAACCCTTCTCTGATATTCAGGAAAATCCAAGGATCCTGACAAGACCTGGCTGAAAGAGGCCAACCTTGCTTGGGCAAGATTCACACATAGCTACTGGGCTTAGTGGTTTACTGGCAACCCACAGTTGAAAAGGTTAAGGCAGGAAGATCAGGAATTCAAGGCCAATCCAATCTCAGCCACAAGGATGAAAGCCACATGGGGCTATAGAGGGTGGTGTGTGGTGGCTTCCTCTATTCCAGTACACAGGCTACTGAGGCAGGAAAACTGGCACAAGTTCAAGGAAGCCTGAATTACAGTTAGTTCCAGGTCTCAATGGTGGGAGGCAATCAGGAATGTTGGCACACACCTTTAATCCTGTCACTTGGGAAGCAGACAGAGGCAGAGCATGAATGAATGGTGGAAAGGAAGTTGGGTTCTAGTATTTGGCATGAGAACTTGATGACCTGCCTTGGCATCACCAGAACTCATGTACAGCCTGACCCATCTGCAACCCTAGTACCTAGAAGTCCCAAGGCCAACTAGCCTGGCTCACAGAAAGGTGAACAAGAGATGCTGTCTCAAACACAGTAGAAGGCAAGCAATAAGTGGTGTCCATTGGTATTCTCTGACCTCCACACCCCACATACCCATACCAAAAGATAAAAACCATACATACTTAAGCCAGATGTGATAGTAGAGGCAGGTAGATCTCCCAGTTAGAGGCCAGCCTGGTTGGTCTACAGTGTCCCGGGATAGCCAGGAACCAGAGAAACTAGTTATGGGCAGGGAATGTTCCCTTCCATCCAAAAATCACACAGACCAGCCATGCAAAGTTATCAAGCAAAAGACAGATACATGAAAGTAAAATCCAGCACATGGGGAGGAGAGTAAAGCAGGAGGAATCAACCTTCAAGACCAGCCAAGACTTCATAAATTTTCCCAGGCACCCTGAGCAAAATAGACCCTATTTCAGGTGGAAGATGGCCTGTGACATGGCTCAGTGCCTAAAAAATGCTTGCCCCCCAAATAAATAGAATGTAAATATTTTTAAAAAGAAGAAAGACATGGAAAAGGATAAAGGGTAGAATCAAACAGGCTAATGGCTTCTCTCAGATGCAGAATTTTTACTGGAGATTTTGTTCTAGATCAAATTATTAGTCTTAGACAGGGGCTGAAATGGTGGCACGCAAAAAGGCCAGTTTGGGTTATACATCTTGATATCTAGGCTACCCTACGATGCATGAAACCCTATCTTAAAACACAGGCCAGGCAGGCATGACTCATGTTTGTGCCTGAAGGGCTGTTGTAAATTCAAGATTAATCTGTGCTACATAGTGAGTTCCAGACCAGCTTGGGACACAAGACAGTCGAAAATAAAAAAATAAATAAAATAAAACATGTAGCGAATGCCTGTGTTCAGAGCTAAGGAAGGCAAAAGATCAAAGTTCAAGGTCAAACTTCGCTTTTTAAGACACTGACTTAAAGAAAGACAACACAAGCCAGGCGTGGCAAGTCACAATTTTAAATACCAGTGCTCACGAGACTTGAGGTGAACGGACTTCAAGGAGCTGAAAACCAGTCTGAGCTATTTCAAAAACAAATTTAATGACCTTCCCCTCATACTTGAGTGGCTGAAGCAGAAGGATTACCAGGAATTGGAGGCTGATTTGGGCTTCTGTCTCAAAATAACACTACATCTCCCCTAGGAATGCAAAGCTGACAGAAAGGGCTTCACGCCTCAAGGTCACTAACAGGGAACACAAAGCGTCATAGCGCCCCAGTCCTAATCCTAATCAAAATCAACTCGGCGACACGAAGTCCGAGGGGGAGAAAACAAAAACAAAAGAAACCAAACCGGATAAGGCGGGGCTGAAACATGCACTGAGGCCCCACCCCTTCGAGAGGAGAAACTGAGGCACGCGTGCACTCCAAGCAGCTCAGGACTCCGGGCTGCGGACGGTCACACAAGTCGAGTTCCCATTCGGATCCGCCCGCGCCGCCGCTGCGCAGTCAGGGAAACTGAGAACGGCTCGGCCATAGAGCCCGAATGGACCCTCTTTCCCCGCTGCGGCACAGCCCGCGGCCTCCCGCCGCCCCACAATCCCGCCCTGGCCCGGCCGCGGCGTCGCCGGCCTAGGCACCTGCACATCTGGCGGCCTGGCTCGCGCTTCCGCGCCACGTTACATCATCACGCAGCGCCTGTGCGACGAACGTGCGTAACCTCGCCGCAGGAAGATCAAAAGAGTGACCAATCATAGGGCGATCTATGCGCATGTGGAGTGTTCCAAGTCTGGCTTCCTAGGCAACCTAAAAGTAGACAGTTAAACGTAATATTTTTATGAATCCTTTAAAAATTTGGCACGTGTATATGATGTATTTTGGGCTTTTTGTCTCCACTGTACCTTTTATCCCCAGGGTCACTCGCACTATTAATTTTGTTTTTAATTTTAGATTTATGTAAGGTGGATGAGTGTTTTGCCTGCAGATACCTATGTGCACCATGTGAAGTCCAGAAGAGGGAGTCAGTCTCCCTGGAAATGGTTGTGAGTCTCCATGTGGGTGCCAGGAGCCAAACCATGTCCTCTGCAAGAAGTGCTCTTTTTTTTTTTTGTTTTTCAAGACAAGTTTTCTTAGGGTACCCCTGGCTGTACTGGAACTCACTCTGTAGACCAAGTTGGCCTCGAACTCAGATCCACCTACCTCTGTTTCCCAAATTCTGGGATCAAAGGTTCCCCCCACCACCAGCTAAAACAGTAGTTTTAAACTCCTGATCATGAGAAACCTCTGCCTGTGTTTTCTCACAGCTAGATCCTCAGACTTACAATTTTTGTATACTTTTAAATCCCCATTCTATTCAGGGGATTCAAAACCTTATCAAATTAATCTTCTGGGGCTTGAGACTGACTATCCCTTCTCTGACGGAGGTCATGGGTCACACAGCATACTGCCTGCAACTTTCCAACCTTCTTGAGTTTGGAGAGACTCAGAAGTTGCCAGCTTGGAGCAAGAGGGGCCTCGTGTTTCATGCTGTCTGTGACTCTGATGTACACTAAGGATTCCTGACACTGAAAATACACCAGAACCAATTCTTTCTTACACTGTGGATGGAGAGCTGGCCTTGAACTCATGGCCATCTTCCTGCCCAGCCTTCCAGGTGATGGGAATGAAGGACTACAGCATCTTAATTAGCTTCTGGATAATTCCACAGTCTAGGTACCACAAGATGTCCCACAAAGTGGGGATGCCTGAAGTCTAGCTTTTTCAAGCAACCTGTTTTTTGCTTTTGTTAACTTTTATTATTGTATTATTATTATTATTGCCTACTTATATGTATTTTGCCTGGTGCCTCTGGAGGTCAGAAGAGGTCAGATCCTTGGGAACTGGAATTACAGACAGTTGTGAGCTGCCATGTGGGTGCTGGAATTGAGCCCAGGTCCTCTGGAAGAGCAGTCAGTGCTCTTAACCACTGAGCCATCACTCTCCAGCTCCTCTCCTTCTTTCTGTCTTTCCCTCTGTGCCCCAAGCAGCTGTTTAGAAAGATTCCTGATTTTTTCTGTCTGTATGGATCTGTACTAACCCTGAAGGTCTGCACTCCATCCTTAGGTGTTTGAAAGACCCACTCCAGAGTGATGAATACCAAATATGAAAGCTGCTCAAGTTGTTTCTATAGGACATCACATTTTCCTAGAGTTTTTCAGCTCTAGCCACAGTAAAGCTGGCTGTGGTACTACATACCTGAGATCCAGTCTGCAAAGGCTGAGGAAGAAGGCATTACCACACACCTAAAGCCAGTCAGTACTCTGAACCACTGAGCCATCTCTCCAGCCCAAAATAAAGGTAGTTTTCTTTCTTTTCTGAGACAGGGTTTATCTGTGAAACAGTCTTAGCTGTCCTGGAACTCATTCTGTAGACTAGGTTAGCCTAAAAACTCAGAGATCTCCCTGCATCTGTCTCTGGACTGCTGGGATGAGAGGTGTGTGCCACCACCACCCAGCTGGTAGCATACACCTTTGATCCCAGCACTTCGGAGGCAGAGGCACGAGGATTTCTGTGAGTTTGAGGCTAGCCTGGTCTACAAAGCAGATTCCAGGACAGCCAGGGCTGTTATACAGAGAAACCCTGTCTCAGGAAAAAAAAATTTAAAAATAAAATAACCAAGAGAAATGATTGTATGATATTATAAAGTAAGGAAGAAGACCATTAGTAAGGACACACAAGGCAGGGAGCAGTATAATGAGATAGATGGCTTACCAAGGAGCTTGCCACCAAGTCTGATGACTTGAGTTCAGTTCCCAGACCACCATGTTATGAGAGAACTGATGCCTGCAAATTGTTCTTTTACATTCTTGTATACTAGGGTGCATGTTCCTCCATTCAATATTTTTAAAAAATCCCAAAATGCAAAATAGGAAAAAGACATTTAGGGCCAAGAGCTCCCTTTACAGCTTAGCAAACACCTGCCTGACATTGCAAAGTTTCTCAGAACAACAAAAGAAAATGAAAACCACCAGATTCAGACATGGCCTAGTTCAAAGTCCTCGGAACTATAACTAGCCCAAGGTTTCTTTGAGGTCAAGTGAAAAGATAACTGATCTCTCTGGAAAGGGGTCACCTCATGGAAGGAAGAAGGCAGCTGAGGAAGGTGTGCACACCTCCCAATCAGGGCCTCTCCCTGGCACCCATCACGCTCTGGCAGAGGGGCATGGAAAAGGCGCCTTAAACTGTTGCAGCACGTAGTTAAGACTGTCCCTGAACTAGAGTATACTGGTTTGTCTCTACAATGTCTGCTTGTACTTGTACCTCAGCTTTGGGATACTTTTCTGTTAGATAGTCTCATGTAGCCAAGCCTGACCTTGAACTTCTGAAGTGCTAGAAGGACAGCAAGAACTGGCTTCCAGACCAATTCTGTACTTAGGGCTTCAAGGTAGCAGTGACAACCTCAAACAAAGGCAAGTTAATTAATTAAATACCATGTAGCCAGCAGTGGTGGCTCCCAGCAATCAGGGAGCTACAGCAGGAGAATTACTATGTTTCATGCCAACTCAGGTTATGTAGACTAATTAAAAATAAAGCAAAACACCTAAAACAAGGGGCTAGAGAAATGGCTCAGTGGTTAAGAGTACTGACTGCTCTCCCTGGTGCACGAAAGCACTTTGGGAGCACATTCCCCATGGAGGGATACTCCCTTAGCCTAGAGGCAGGATGGAGGGCCTAGTGCCTATTCCAAATGACAGATTTTGATGATTCTTCCTGGAAGGCATCACCCTCCCCATGGAGTAGGAGGGTGGTTGGGAGGGAGGTAGGGGGCATGGGAGGGAGGGAGAGGGAACTAGGATCGATATATAAAATAAGAAAAAATTATATATATATATATATATATATATATATATATATATATATATATCTCCTCTTCCAGAGGATCCAGGTTCAAGTCCCAGCACCCACATGGCAGCTAACAACTGTCTATAACTCCAAGATCTTGACACCCTCACACAGACATAATGCAAGAAAAATACCAATATTAATAAAAATAAATAATTAAAAAATTCTAAAACAAAACAAGTAGTCAGGAGAGCTGGCTCAAACAGGTCATTAAGGCACTAAGGTAGCTGAGGCAGGAGGAGAGCTGCCAGTGTGGGCTACACGGTCAGACCTTGGCTAATTAAAATATAAAACATAAAACGAAAGAAGACACAATAATAAAATAATGAATTGAGCCAGGTGTGGTGGCACACACTTTTAATCTCATCAATAAGCAGGAAGATCCCTTGAAATTCAAGGCCAGCCTGCTCTGGTCTACATGTTGAGCTCAGGGACAGCCAGTACTACACTGAGACACCTCGGCTCCACCAGCGAGGGAGGAGGGAGAATGAAATAAAATAAGTAAAATTAAGAAAAGTAAACACCTTTTTTTGTTTTGTTTTTCGAGACAGGGTTTCTCTGATCGCCTTAGCTGTCCTGGAACTCTGTAGACCAGGCTGGCCTTGAATTCACAGAGATCCTCCTACCTATGCTTCTCGAGTGCTGGGATTAAAGGCGTGTGCACCATCACCCGGCCGTAAACACCATTGTTTCATTGCTATTTTTCCAGAGAGCCCCCAAACGGGCCGCTCATGAGCTGAGGTGTTTATTGCTTATGTCTAATTCGCACGTAAGCAGGATGAAGCCAACCGAGCGCGGAGTCATACCAGGACAGGGTGCCGTTCTCCCCCCTACCGAGCTTCAGGCCACAATGCTCCCACTCCTAAAGCACCCCCCAGGTTAAGAACCCCTTTAAGAACAGCCAGCCGAGTTTAGCAGGAAGGAGGCGGCGGCATCTCGGGCGCGAGACGGATGTGTGCACCAGCCAATAGGCGCGGCGATCGCGGCACGAAGAACCAATGGGTGCGCCGGGGGCGGGGTGGCGCATCTGAAGCTGCTTCCCGAGGCACGGCGGCCGCAGCTGGGGGCGGGGAGGGGGCGCAGGACCCCAAGCGGGGTCCCAGAGCCGCAGGCACGTGTGGTGGGGCGTAGCGCAGAAGCCAAGCCTGGGGCCGAGCCTTCCGGGGCTTCGGAGGCCGTGATCTCTCCGAGGGTGTTGACGGCCGGGTGCGGGGCGGCGTTGGGGTGCGGGGCGCGCGGGGCATTGTGGGGGCTCGGGGCGGGAGGGTCTCCGGTCGGGGCCGGATCCCGGAAGGAGGCCCGCAGGTGAGGGTCGCAGGGCAGGGACGCGGAGCTCCGGGGCTTCTTGGGGTTTATGGGGCGGTCCTGACTGCACTTGGGGTGCTGCAGCCGGGTTGGGGTGCTCCGCAGACAGGACTGGGGCCAGGGAGATGCCGCAAGAATCCGTATTGGGGGCCTCACTACTCTTCTGGTTTTATTTTTTGAGAATGAGTCTCAAGTTTTCTATGCTAGTCTCCCAAGTGGCTGTGTAGCTCAGGCTGGCCTTGAACTCCAGGTCCTTTGCCCGTGCCTCCCTAGAGCTGGGATGACAGGCATGTACTGCCACACCAGGTTTATGGGGGTGCTAAGCCTAAAGCGTGCCTACTAGGAGGGCGCTCTATCAACGATAGATTTTAGGTGTAGATTTCTTGAGACGGGATTTCATGTAGTCCATGAATTCCATGACCTTAAATTCCTGATCACCCTCCCTGCCTCCGCCTTCCATGTGCTGGAATGACAGGCCTTTGCTGATGTCTGGCTTCTGTGGT